CATAATATTTTAAAATGAAAAAAAAAAAAAAGCTTAGTAAATAGCAACTCAAGAAATTGTAGCCAAGCTAAATAGTGGTAAACCTAGAAAGTATGGAATGTACTTACATGCTTTTTTCAGATTTTTATTGCTATCAAGCGGCAAACTCATTGACATTTTGGTATTGCCTGAGGCACCCGTAAGCAAAAACTACAAAATATCAAAATTACATCAATTTCAGGAGAATTGATGCCTTATCACTATTGAATCTTCTAGTCCACTAATATGACATATCTTTTCATTTATTTAGATCTTTTTTGGTTTATTTTTATCAGTGTTTTATAAATTTCAGCATACAAATTCTGAATACATTTTGTTAAATTTTATCTAAGAATTTGATTTTTTGGTTGTATTGCAATAGGTACTTTTGAAAAAATATTAAATTCTAATTGTTCATTGCTAGGATATATATACAATTCATTTTTATATATTGACTGGCATCTTGTAACTTTGCTATATGTCTGTGAATAAAGAGCTTTATTTTTTCCTTTATAATCTGTATGGATTTTCTTTTTCTTGCTTTATTGCATAGGCTAGAACTTTCTTTAGTATGATGTTGAACAGTAATGTTGGGAGTACTCTTGCCTTTTCCCCAATCTCATGTGGAAAGCATCCAATCTTTTCCCATTTTTGGGTTCAAATTGCACATATATTAAGCTTTTGGATATTGTCCCACAGGTCTTGGAGATTCTATTCTTTTATTTCAACTCATTTTATCTCTTTGTGTTTCAGTTTGGGTAACTTTTATTGACTTGTTTTGTAGGTCACTAATTATTTCTTCATCTGTGTCAAGTCTGAAGACTCCATTGAAAGCATGTTTTTATTTCTGTTACTGTGTTTTTACTCACAGGATTTCCATTTGATTATTTTTTACAGTTCACTTTTGTTGGAATTACTCATCTTATGTTTCACATTGTCTATCTTTCTATTAGAGACTTTAATATAGTAAATTATGCCTATTTTAAATTCTCTATCTGACATTTCTAACATTTGTTCCAAATCTGAGTACCATTCTATTGATGACAATGTCTCTTGAGAGTTGAATATTTTTTATTGTTTTTTTTTATATATCTAATTATTTTTGTTGTTGTTGCTGTTGAAAGTTGGGCATCATGTGTAGAACATTAAACACTGAAGTAAATAGTCTTTATGCCTGGAAATGGGCACAAAATTCTTTGCTTCTGCTATACACCAAGTGGCTCCACATTTTCCTGCCAGCCTATACCCATTCTCCAAAAATTTGTTAATAACTCTAGCTGATTTTTTCTTACTCATATCTGGCTGTGTCTGCCCCAGGTAGGAAGTTGCTCACATCTTATTATTTCTTCCATCCATTCATTTTTGCTTAGATTTCAGGCTCTTTAGTTCTGTGCCTATGATACCATCAAGAAAACTTGTGAATTTGCAGTTTGTTCTGGTGTGTGTGTGTGTGTGTGTGTATGTGTGTGTGTGATAATGGTGGATGTGATGCTCTTTCTAGCTATCTATATCCCTAGTGGTTATTTATATATTTTAAATTATTTTTTGAAAAAATAATACAATTAAATGGTTTGAAAATAGGTACTATTGCTAGGTTTAAAACATCAAAACTGATTTAAAATGAGAATCTCACTTTCACTTATGCCTCATCTATCTCATTCTCTTTCTTTCCTTTTAATTTTCTCTCCTAGTGGTTCTTTTCTTTTTTAAATTAAAAACTCAGCAAATATAGCTGGATTTGTCAATTTCTTTTTCCTTTTTTTATACCAAAATGTTTGCCCCTTTTTTTTCCCCCTGAAGATCTTTCCTAATAGACACATAGAGACCTCCTTTATAATTTTCACAGTTGCATGGGATTCTTTGTCCACAAAACAATTAGAAAAAACCTAAATGTTGGCATAGACAACTATTGAATAAACTATGATATATTTTGCTATTATAGATAACATCACAATAAACGATTCTGCTGAAGACGTATGATTTTCCTTACATGTGCAGATTTTTCTGTAATACAGAATCACAGAAATGGAATTACTAGAAGAATGCATCTGTAGTTTTACATGCTATTGCCTGGTTTCTCCACACTTTATTTTCCAACAATATCATTTATATTATTCTCATGAAGTTTGGGTTAGAACTACATTAAACATGTATGCTTAGTCTACTGTCTTTACCCAGTACTTTTCATTTATTCTTCAATCAACTCTACCCTTGTTTCTGCTCCCACTACTTCATAAAAGCTGCTATTTTTAAGGTCAATAATGGCGTTCCTGTAGCTGAATCCAATGGCCACCTTTTTAGAAATAATCTTGTTTGGCTTCTCATCAGCAATGGGCAGCTATATTTCGTGACCCCATATTATTTTGATTTGACTTCTACTTACTTGGTTCTTTCTTTTTATTTGACTTTGCTATCTGCTCCTACGCACCCCAATCTCTCAACATTTGGAAGCTCCCATTTTTATCCACCCACTTGCTAATGCCAATAAGTGTAGGCAAATGGGATGACAATTATGGAAAGCCTAATTGAAATTGCATAGGAATTCTATGATTTCTTATTGTCAGAGCACTTTAATTACTAAAGCGGAAGTGGTTATGAGGTTTTGATGAATTTCATCTACAGTTACCCTAAGTAATGATATTATAATTGTGAAAATTTTGTCTTTGTGGATTCAAGGCTAGATCAGAGAAAATACACACTTGCCATTTATGCAGTGCCTCTCTTTTTCCCTGCCTGGGGTGGACAAACTGTAGTTACTATTTGGGATTATATATATTTAACATTCTTGGACTGCTTTGTTTGTTTTGTTTTGTTTTTATTTATTGATTTTTCACTATCCTTTGTCTTTGTATGGACTTACTCTATAGCATGCAGGAGCTGTTTTCTACAGAGATAAAAGCTAATGTACCTCTGGCTTATAAAGAGTTTATAACAATATGTGTTTACAAATTGCTTACTTTGAGATGGACAGGTGAAAAACACTATATAATTGCCAAGTATTATTATCTGTCTAAATCTAGCTGAGTAAACAAATCTTTTTAATGCTTATTTTAATGACACAGTTGTTCCATATGGTGGACTTCAGATGCATAAAAAAATCTGGAGTTAGTGCATTCCCTGGAGAGAACCAGATTGTCCAGGTGTGCCATATTTTAAACTCGGGGTAGAATTAAGAGACACAGCTTTTCAAAATTCAGGCTCAAACAGTAACTCAGACCAAGTTAGTTTCTTTATTGTTTCAGACAACACAGGGCTCTTTCATTAATGAAACAAACCCATGTAATATCTACTGAAAAGGAGGTCCTAATCATTTTATGGTATTTGGGTCAGAAGTGAGACAGTGAAACCACGAGTCTTGCTCCTTGGTGTGCTGGTGGGCAGGTCTGATGAGCTTGGTGGGTTTTATATCTCAACTGCTGCAATAGTTACGGCTGAGTCATAATTCAGGCCCAAGTAGACCGCGTGGACTCCGGGTCATGTGCACAGGCAAATGAGTGCTTTGAGTGCAGAGGAAATAGGCGTTGAGAGTTCAGGCCTTGAAATAGGAGATAATGCACTGAATTTCTTGTCCTAGTTCTCAGTTGGAAAGAAATGGTCTTTGATTTCCATTTAATAACTACTTTTGTGTGTGCAGTTTAGAGAGTCAGGTTTCTTACATACAACCTAATGCTTCCATTGCTGAATCTGTAACTTTTCCTAAGAAGATCTGCAATGATATCTGGACATAAATTCAGAGAACTATGGGAGTAAGAGAAGGAGAGTAGACTAGAAGATCATGGCTCCTGACCCAGGGCCTCGGCTTTGGACTGCAGCAAGTAAAGAGGCTGGCGAACTCTTGGAGGAGCTGTGGTGGGGGAATGTAGAGCCGGCACTGCCACGTCTTCCTATTTCATAGAAATCTGGATTTATATGTAAAATATCCTGATGTATAAGTGATGAAAATGAAATCTCTATTCTCCACTTGATACTTCCTTGAAATTAGAAACAGGTGAGGGTCTCATCCAACTCTAAACAGTAAAACAAGCAACATTTCTCTTGTTAACTTTTATTGAATAGTTCTTATATCCTAGGTGTTGATGATGCAAGGAAAAAAAAACATTTTTACCATCAGAGTTTCCATTATAAGTTATTATTTATCTGTTTATCACAAAATTCCTTGAATTATCTTAAATGTCTAAGATATTTAGTCTTGGACTTTCATACTCTATGCATAAATGTAGTAACTTCTTTGACTCTCATAACCTCACCTACTACATAAACAAAACTTTATTTTCAGTGGCCACCAATTCTATCCCAATTGCCAAATCCTGTGACTGGCTTTCAGTTCAGTATTTGTCATTATTTCTCACCATCTCAGTATTTAATCTGCCCCTTCTGTGACCCACTCTCTATGATTGGCCCTGAATTCTTCCTTCCCCTACTTGAGCACTTAGCTTCATCCATCCTCTGTGTCTGTAATTCCCAAACTCATGCTTGCCTATAAAATTCCAGTCCTGAGTTTTTAACTTCTTCCTAGATACCTCAATGTAGAAATCTCAGTAGCACCCCAGAGTCAATACAAAAATATATCTAAGGTTGAACTCATTCCTTCCTTCCCCGTTCTTTCTTTTAGGGTCCTACCAGGAAAAAAAGAAACCACATTAATTTTGTTAGCAGAGGTAATTTAATATAGGAATTGATTAAATAGGTATTGGGCCTTGAAAATGGAAATGAGGAGCACTGAGATAGTAACAAAGAGATAGTAACTGTGGGATGCAGCCACCCTAGGGCTTGGGCTCAAAAGGAAGGGACTGTGATTACCAGAAGGTAGAGACTAGGAGAGTCCTTATAGAGCTGGGACTTAGACCTTTAGAGAGAGCCCCCTTTGGTATTTCAAAGGGAGTGTAACAGACTGGTTTTAGGAATGTAGAAAATAACTGGAAAAAACTGAAAATAACTGCTACTTCTAGAGTGAAGGGCTGTATTTAGAACAGTGAGCAAACAGGAAGAAACATGTCCCTTCTGCCTTTTCAGGTTTTCTCTTTCTGTCACTCCTACTGGTACAACACAGTGGGAAGCAGCTAACCAAGGACAACGGATGTTTGCAGAGTCCCACCCCCAGCATCTGAAAGCTGAACATGGAAAGGTGGGTTTGGAGCTGAAAGACATGGTACATCTTCCTTCTCTTTGTTCAAGCTCCACCCTCATTCACATCTTGATGACTCAGAACTGTCTTCAGCATCTTTGACTTGGAATGCCATATCCACTTAATTGCCAAGAACTTTCAATTTTACCCCTAAGAGATGCCTTTTGCTTTTCAGCTGACACCACCCACATTTAAACCTCTATTACTTTACTCTTGCCTAATCCATTTCAGAAGTGTCCTAATGGATCTCTTCTCTTACTCCTGTCTTTCCCCTTATTAATCCAGATTAATCTTCCCAGATCACTGCTCTGATTATGACTTTCTGCTGTTCCAGATACTGGGATGGAAACAAAATTCCTTGGCATGGCTCTCAGGCTTTTCATGATCTCCTCATCCAGCTTTTGAGACTTACCTGAGAGATGTGAGATGATGGATATGTTAATTTGCTTGGTTACATGTAAGTATCAAAACATCATGTTATACACCTTAAACATATACCATAAAACAAAGAAAAACAGGCTTTCCTGAAAGAATCTTCATCCTATAAGCTCGACACACCTAGCTATACTCGTAACTTCTGACTTGCCAAAGGCCTTTTGGACATTCTTGTCTCTGGGCTCAAGGTCTTTGAGCCTCTGTCCAGAATGTATTTCTCATCTTCACTCGATGCTTCTAGATCTAACTTACATGTCACTGAACTACATGAAGAAATCCTTGAACTTATCGTAGACTCAGTACAGTTCATTGAAAAACTATGAAACCTTTTAAGCACCTTGTTATTAGGCAAGGTGCTATTACAACTATTACTTTTGATGCATACAGTATTTTAAATTGCAGCACATTTAAAAAAGTCAACGGAGTTTTGGAAGCTAAATATGATTTTCTTTTTCTTTAGGAAAAGAAAAAATAAAAGTGGAAGTATATAAAGCATATAACTAGAAGGGCCATCAACAATTCTCTCCTGTCAGGAAATCAGTGAAATATATACATATTTAAACTGAAAGAAGGCACTTAACTTTAGAAGTAGGAGCAATTTATAGGAATCTGAGGCACAGATTCCATACCTGAAAGTGCGAATATACTTAAAGGAAGTATTGACAGGAGAAAGAGTAAAGAAAAACTGACACATTAACCCGAAGTTAGATAATAGAGATATAGACATGATTATATAAAAAACAGCTAAAGTAAGCCAGGCCCAGTGGCTCATGCTTGTAATCTCAGCACTTTGGGAGGCTGAAGCAGGAGGATTACTTGAGCCGAGGGGTTTAAGACCAACCTGGGTGACAAAGCAAGACCTTGTCTCTACAAAAAATAGACAAAATAGCCAGGCAAGAGGATGTATACCTATGGTCCCAGCTACTGGGGAGTCTGAGGCAGGAGGATAACTTTGAGCTCAGGAATTCAAGGCTGCCTTGAGCTGTGATCATGCAACTGCACTCCTGCCTGGGTGACAGGGCAAGGCCCTGACTCTTAATAAAAATGAGAAGAAAAAATATAATAATTGGACATGAAATAAATACAACTTAAGGTTTTGTAATAAAGCTTTGTTAGGGGATAACTCAAGAATGCTCCAGATGAAAGATAAAGAGAAATTGAACAGATTTTGAAAGACGATTGAACAGGTGAAAACAAGTTGTGAAAAATCACAAATAGCTAAGTTTTACCTAATATTTATTTATAAATATGGAATTCAGGAAATAAAATGGAGACGGGAGTGATTTCTTAAAATTATGTGATTTCTTAAAATGAAATCACAATTTGTTGAGAAATTGGAATTAGAAGGTCTCAGATACAAGGCATAGTTCCCCCAAAATGATAATGATGATGATGACCATGATTGTTAAAATTTGTTGAGTATCACTATGCGTAAGGCACTAAATTAACTTGCGCTTAAATTGTGTGAACTCATTTGACTCGTGCAACCCCCCAGTGAAGCTTATATTACATTATCCCCATTTCACAGGTGAGAACACTGAAGACACAAAGCTTCAATCATATCGCCCAGCTAGCATGTACTGGATCCAGAGCTTAAATCAGGGGTCTGACTCCAGAGCCTGTGCCACTGGCCACTAAATAGCACCTTGTAACGAAGTTGCAAAGAGAGGACAGATTCCTAGAATCAGTGGGTTTATTGGCAGAGGAAGTAAGCCTTTTCCAGAGGTTTCTAACATAACTTTGAAACAAAATAAGGGTCATGGGGCAAGGGAAATTGACAAAGGTGATGACACAAGTCCTATTAACTAGTTTGTCACAAAAAGGGGAGGGGAGGACTGTCTAGTCCTGGGAGTTTCACCTGAACAATGCTGCCTTCAGTCCAAATTATGGCTGAATGGAGGGGAGGGGCAGAGCGGCCAGGTGATCAAAGGCCCTTCGGAGAAGGACGTGAAATGGCAGCCAGGCTCTTCCCTGTCTCCAGAAGTTCACTGTACCACATTTAATAATTGCTTCCCATTATTGCCTGACTGTCCTTTCCAAATAAATCTGCCTGATTGGGATGGATTTGGTGTGGGAATATCTGTTCCAGCCTATTAGCCAGTACCTTTGCTGAGATTCCCCTGTCCACATTTATTAAGGAGATGGGGTGATAATTCAGGCTGGGTTCTGGTTTTCCTCCTAGTTTAAGAATTACAATAATTAGTGCTGATCTTAAGGCCCCAAAGTCAGCATATTGTTTCCAGCTCACCCTTGTCCCTTTTTAGCAGGCTAGGCAGAAGCACCTTGCTTTGGGGTATGAAACCAGATTATCAAACAGCAGGGCTCTTGGGGCATTTCTGAGAGTGGGAGATTTTAGGGGCAAATTTTCTTCTTTTCACTTCTATCTATCCCTCTGAAAGTGGCTGTATTTCTGGCTATACTTGCAGCTTCAGTCACTTCCAAGCAGACCCTTTAAAAATAAAACTGATGAGGGACATCAATGATTTTCCTTGACATAACTTGTTGATTTAGTAGATTTTTCTCTTTCTATAATTTAATGCCAAAAAAATGAACATGGAGTTACAGTCTTCTACTGCCCCCTATTCTCTGGCTCACTGGGGAAGCAGGATCATATAGAAAAAGCCCTCTCTTTTCTCCTTCTGGAAAACTGAGTTTTATTTTTAGAAGAAAGATCCTTTTCTTTTTTCTTTTTTTTAGTAGAGACAGGGTCTCGCCCTTGCTGAGGCTGGTCTTGAAATCCTGACCTCCAGTGATCCTCCTACCTCGACCTCACAGAGTGCTAGAATTATAGGTATGGGTCATGATGCCTAGCCCTAGAAAACTGAGTCTTCATAGTGCCTGCTTCTCTGCTAGTTGCAGACATGTTTTGGGGTCTCCCCAAGTCCAGAACTCACCACCAATGCATGATCCTGCCCCTAGAAGAACAGTACTCTTTTCTTCAAGTTACTAATATCCTTTGTTATTGATAATATTGTTATCAAGCTCTTACTATGAGCTAGACACTCTTCATAGCGCTTTATCTGCAGAAATCATTTAGTATTCACAATACCCCATGTGTAAGTATAATTATTGGTCATCCTCTTTGGTAGGGATGGAACCCAAGCCTTAAAGAGACCAAGAACTTACCAAGGATGTGCAGCCAGTAAGCTGAGACTCAAACACAGATCCATCAGACCCTTTTAGTCCTGACCTTTTTAGTCCTGAATGGTCAGGACAATTTTGATGTCAGCAAAATGCCTCTAGCACAGAAGAAAAGAGCAACACGATGGTTTCATGACCATGGCAGACTGGGAAGGACTTGTGAAGTGTAGAACATAATTCAGCCACACCAGCAACGTGGTAATGCTTGAAGAGAAGAAGTAGTAAATAACCACTTTTTCAGAGGCAGCAGCAAAAGCACCAGCTCTGAAGGGTAGACATTCAGGGCTGGACTATTTCTACTCATCTCACTTATTCCTCGCACTGCCCCTTACCTATTCCCATTTTATTGATGGAGAAGCCAGGCTCAAGGAGTTATTTGCCAGAGGTCACACAGGAAGTGTCGGGATAGGTATGTCAGCCCAGCTTTCTATGGAAGAGCCAGAAGGAAGAAAATAGAATTTTACCAGAATACACATCCTGAAATCATTTTGAGAAATCTCTCTGTATAAATGAAGACAATGCAAAGAACCAGTATGAGATTTGTTTCTCTCTTTCTCTGTATCTGTTTCTCTCTCTCTTTTTTTCTCTCTCTCTCCCCCTCTTCCCTCTCTTCCCTGATCTCTCTCTCTCTCTCTCTCTCTCTCTTTCACACACACACACACACACACACACACACACACACACACACTACCTAGTTCAGTTCAAAAGGAAAAACCCTAAACAATGAGACTTCTTGAATGAGGAAAATGTAGCAGCATTATTCTATTACTTTTCAACATGTGGAATTCCTGAGAGCCCATCTAGTAAAGTGAGAGGGCTTCAGTGGGGGAAAGTTAGCATGCTTTATCTAGAAAGACCACTGGTGATTCCATTGTAACTTCTACTTCTTGATTCCTTAAATGTGTTAGAATTATCTGTGGTATGTATGTGATCCTACATAATGTAAAAGTCATATTTAATTAAATTAATGTAACTGAAATACTTCAGTTGGCTTAACTTGTTCATTTTCTCTAACTAAATATCAGCTTACACTAAAAATTTTATTAATCACAGTAATGAGAATTTTTATATTAAATATATATATTACATTTAGTTTAAACGTTAATAGTCTACATTATCTTAATAAATTGTGCTAAGGGAGTATATATGGACTAAGTCTCTCATGCAGATTTTATTGGTTGCTGCATAGTTAATAGACACTAATGTGATCAGAGCCTGGATGTGATCATAAGATCAGTAGTTAAAATGATTGAAATATAAATTAGGAGCTGGAATAATTGTTTGTTAGAAGCTCAGATAATAACTGTTTGGTAATGCTCAGAGGGTCGAAGAGATAAAACATTCAAATGTGCAGCAGCAGCAGGGGAAAGAAATACTTTGAGGCAGACAAAGGCCCTGAATGCTTTCTACTAATTGCTCTTCTTACTCCCTCCCTCTCTCTCTCTTTCTCTCTTTCCCTCTTTCTCTTTCTCTACAGAGGCTGACACACAGCTCTGCTCTCCCCTACTATGGCTCTTCTGGGTTCCTCAGTGAGCCTCCTACTCCACTTCTTCCTTTCTCTCTCCTTCCCTCTCTACTCACAGGCTGTGTGTCCTTCCTTACTGATGATGACAAACCCTGCACCACCACCCTGCCATTGACACGCCTGATTAACATGCCCGGGATGCTTTCTTCTATGCCAAAGTTGGCAGACCTACTCAGTAAGGGGCTCTAATCCATGCTAAATATTTTAAGCTTTGTGGACAATACAATCCCTATCAAAACTACTCAACTCTGCCCCGTGGGCACAGGAAGCTGCCATTAGACAATCGTACATGAATGAGTATGGCTGTGTGCCAACAAAACTTTACAAAAACAGACACTGGGCTGAACTTGGCCCCCTTGCCATAGTTTGCCGCCTCCTGTTCTATGTTGTCAAATGTTCCCCTGACCCAAAGCCCCATTTTGCTTTTTCCCTTAGAGGGAAATTCTCAGTTGAAATATCTTTCTCAACAATGGGCCTGTAATTAACTTCTTATACCTGTTTGTGTGCTGTTGCAATCCTGACAAGGTAAAATTGATAATTCTTAATAAAATAGAAGCAATCTACATTCCATGCCCTGATAGACCTGGAGGTTAATTAAAAAAGAATGTGATTGTATTTAAGAGAGTTAATCAACTTTTCTGTCTTACATAGCTATGAAGACTTCCTCCAGATAGGATTTGATGGCAACCAGATCTAATTCAGCAGACAGAAGTTTTGGGCAATTTTGATAGTAATTTTCTCTATCTGAACGTCTGCCTTTTCCTCCCAAGGTCTTGGTAGATTTAGTGGAAAACCATTTTCCTTTGTTTGGAGCCCATGCTTCCTCTCCTCCTCTATACCCCAATTAATTCACCTGCCTCCTTCACCTTTTGGGATATTTTTCTTTAGTTATTTATCTTGGTAGTTTGACTAGAAAAGTTCAGACTTGTTTTCCACAGGGGGTTTTGGGTGCATATGAGCAATGTGTCCTCTTGATCTCTTTAATAAATTCCTTAAGGAAGTTGGGGATTTCTGACAGTGATTTTTGAGTAAAGGGCTTCTGATTTCCTTTTCTTCTACTCCCCTCCCCTAAACCGTATAATTTTAACATTGTTTCCTCTTAATCTCTTCCCCAGGTCAACTATTTCAACTTTTGACTTCAATTACTCATTTTCAATGCTTGCGTGTGTTAAATTCATTAATTTCTATTAAATTCCCTTGATTTACTCACTATGGGCAAAGCACTGGGACAGACAATGTTGACGGGAGACAAAGATTTAAAATAGCCTCTGACCTTGAGGTGCTAATCATTAACCTAAAATATAAGGTTGCATGTGATAAGCATCAAATGAATGGCATAAAGGAATTAGTAAAGTTTAAAGACATAAAAGCCTTTGTTCTCAAGGGGCTAGAGAGTAATAGAGGACATTGGTTGATTTTTGCCATGTGGTATCCACACTACTTTTGTGTCAGCAGTAGTGACACAAAACTTTCTTTGGGGTTACCAACTTTCTTTGGGGTTTACCATACTTTCTTTGGGGTTATCATTCATCTTCACTGTCTTTGGGGTTACCATACATCTTCACTGTCAGCCCATGTACCAACTATGGCACTGTCTTTATTCCCAGGGGAATCACATGCCCCAAACCAAGCTAATGCTCCCAGTCCACCTGCCTAACCAAAGCTGGGTTTACTAATAATCATAATTCTCTCACCTGGGCTACCAAATATTCTTTTTGTGCCACCAGAGGCAGTTTCTGTCTTTTGTTGGACTGGGTTCTTGTGACGAAGGAAGCCGGAAGCTGCCGTGAGCCACGATGCAGATCCCTGAATGTGGCCCACAGAGAAGGCCAGCGAAGAGCTGGGTCCTGCTGACATCACGTGAGGTCTACATCATCTGGAACTGAAGTTAAACCAGACTCCTGAGCTGTCTGAACTCTACATCTTCCAGCTGAAGCCAGTTTAAGTTGGGTTTTCTGCGACCTGCCACAAAGATGTTGATAAAGCATACGGTAGTGGGGCTTGGACTTGAAAGAGAAGTGTGTCTTCATAGGTAAAGGTGAGGTCACTAGCTTCCAGACATTTTTAATTTACATACAAGCTTCTGCACCTGACAGTGTTCAATGTAGTTTTCAAGTTGGGCTAAAATACTGATTCAAAAGATGCTGGCATCGGAAGTCCTCACTGTGTTCATTAAGCTGCCCACATACGCTTAAATCATTGTAGAAATCCAAAGTAATCAAAACTGGAAAGGGCATTTCTGAGCACTTTAACACATTTTCTTATGTAACCCATTCACTTTCCCTGGTGACATCTCCACTGGCAATCTGCATTACACTTTAAAGTCTCTGTAGTTGGCTTATTTTTTCACTTCACATTTCTGGACTTTTAACTCCATGGGATTTCTTAGCAGAAAATTTGTATTTTAACCCCTCTGTGAATGTATCGAAGGAGAGAAGAAAACTAATAATTTTGGAAATCCACCATGCATCTCAATCTCTAAAGTATCTCATTTAATTTTTTCCATAACTTTGGAAATTACTATTATTCTCTTTAAAGATGAAGAGAGATTGGTGGGGCTTATTTAACTCATAAAGATTGCATAGCTGGTACACTGAAGAAGTAGGATTTGAATCTAAGTACCTTTGACTCCAAAGCGAAGCCTCTGCTGATTCCATCACATCTTACAGATGTCATTATCGCTTGGTGACCTTCACTTTCTACCACTTGCCCAAGGTAGAGGAGCTGGGGAGAGATCAAGGAAGAATTTCTCTGCTCTGGCCCCTCTGATACCACTGGTGGGGCTAGGTCACCATTGTGGCCAGTGTCTAGGTTCTTTTCTGCAGCTCACAGGGGCACCACTGTCCTTGGGGCAGTCGCTTTGCATCCCTCAGGATCGGTGGTAGTGCTGGAATAAGGCTCCTGACAAAGGCATCAGGCCGAGGGTGTGGGGGGCTGGCTTTCAGCTACAGTGAGTCTCTGCAGCTTCTGCTGTGCACAGCAGCAGCTGGTGGGGAGGGTCAAGGGAGGTCTCCAGCATTTGTCGCCTCTTCAAGCACTTCTGGGGCCTCACAGCCCTGAGCTGGACAGCCCGGACTCTATCAACACTTTTTAGAGTGCTTGCTGTTCACAGCTGGATTTCTGCTCAGCTCTGACACTGTAAAGCTTTTTCACATAACAGCACTTTCAAAGAACATATTCAAAGTCAGCACTTCTACCCTCCCCATTGACACTGGCCTTATAATATTGAGGCAAACCTGAAGGACCTAGTGTACCCACTCAACGGAACCCAAATGCAGGTATCCAGGCAAGTTAGCAATTATTCCTAATTTCTCCAACTTCGTTAATCCTGCAAACAAAACTCTAAGACCAGTCCTGAATGTTCAGCCATTTGCTGGGATAGACACATAAACTCATCTTTGGGGCTAACAGCCTGGACTTGGAGTAGGAAGGCCTTGGATTGGAATCCAGGTTCTACCACTTAATGACATGTTGGTATTAGATCTGTCTGAAGCTTATTATCCTCATGCACAAAATGGGGATATTTTATGGGATTTTATGAAGATTAAATTAAAAAACAAAGCAAATACAGGAGCTTAGCACATACTATGTACTTGCCACATAGTAACTATTATTGCTGGGTCTCCTTGGGTCTCCTGTTATCTTTATGTCTTCAGTTGGGGCCTATTTCTTTGGTGAATGAAAATGCAAAGGGTCTTATGATCTGTGATGGATCTTGATATTTTGCACTTCAACCTGCCAGATCTGGGTGGGAAGGAATTTCTAACACTCTAGGATGTGTCCTAAAGATATCCCTGTATTTATTTGTTGAAACCAAACAACTTTGCCACAAGCAACTCAATTCTCTACTGTCATATTGCAGCATATGGCCAGAGGGATGCAGCATACCAGGCTGTAGCATAGTACCTGCAAAGATGGATGAGTTTCAGGGTCAGTGATTAAGCCTTTTTGCTCTTGCTTTGTGAAGTCCGCAGGTCCTCAAAGGGATTTCAAGAGCTTTTACCCAAGCTCCATTTGCTCTACAGGCACAGAGTTGCTTTTAGGAGAATGCATACTTAAAAATTTGAGTCTTTCAATCTTAAGTTTTGTGAAGGAATTTTTGCTGTGCATAATTTCTTAAATCAGAATTACGGCAGTCATGTCAACCATACTGCAGAGTAAACAGGAACTTAAATCAGTACTCTGAGCTGTGATCAGAATGGGGCAGGTATGGGCATATCTGCAAGGAAAGAAAATGGCAGGATTCCCCCAGGATGTCAGTGATTCTATCATCCCATGTCTCTCTTAGGCCTGATTTTGAGCCAATGGGGAAAGATCACCTGGAGAGCTCTATTAGAATCAAAGCTCTTTCTAGAAGGCATCTTACATTCTTTATCTCAGCATCATGTTATTTTTGGCAGTCACATGCCTGACTCAACAGCATGATGTGGTACTGAAGGCCCTTCGGGATGGCTTCCAGTAGAGTAACAGTTGAACTGTGGGGTCGCTAATACTTACAGGGCAGGAATACTCAGTCAGAGAAAGAGCACATTGATTGATCCTCTGCTGAAAATGTGCTGAATAGTTTGAATGAAAGGGAGGGTCATTTTATGGGTCCAACTCTGTTACAGATACTGGAAGGCTGGAAGGGAATATAAAGCTCAGTTTCTGTCCTTAAGGAACGTGTGTTTGTGTTGGCGAGGCAAGACTAAGGCACATGCAGCAACAGGCTAGATGAGAGAGAGTGTGATTAAGTGACAACCAAATGGTACAGACAGCAAGTGCTCCAGGGGCTGGGTCTTGGGGGAGATGGTGGAGACAGCCAAGTGTTGACAGGTTTGCAGTGATCTGATGCTTTAGCGAGATGCTTGCCCAGAGTTAGAGATGCCGTTCTGACTGAACATGGAAACTTCCAAAAAGGAAACCATCACATCTCAAGGATGGCTTCATTTTCTCAAATCCCAGGTTCCCGCTGATTGAGGAAATCACATCAGAAACTTTTCGGGGTCACAGGATAGTATTTTGTGCTTTCTAAGAAGCCATTTAACTGGAGTTTTAGCAGTTCTCAAGCTCCAGGAGACTTGTAAATTTCAAAGCAGAGGAGATCAGGATCTGCCTTACTGGCACTTACTGACCACGTGACCTTGAGCTGTAAATGTGCCGAGTTTCACTTTCTCTGCCAAATGAGAGTGGTAGTGCGGGTCTCACAGGGTTGTTACGAGGATCACAGGATGGTAATGTGTACAAAGTGCTGGGCACATGATAGGGATTTTAGGACAGGACAGGCTTATCATGGTCACTGGTAGACTAGGAAGCAATACCTTAGACATGAACATAAAATGGGATAGTGTGAGACCTGCAAGGTATCAATCAGAGTGATCACTTGGGCCAACTCCTCATTTTATAGCCAAGGGAAAAAAGGCTGAGATAAACTACAGTCTCCACAACACAGAGCCAACCAGCAATAAAGCTGGGCAAGCAGCCATGTCTCTCAGCTGGCATTCCAATAACACTTCTCTGTCCCATGGCCTGAACCAGGTGTCCTCAAACTACAGCCCACAGGCTACATGCTACCTGCCCAGGACATTTAACCAGCCGGCTGGGTGTTTTTGTCGCAGCTGCCTGTCCTGCTTAGCAGCCGACTCATCCTGGCCCCACAGTGCGCACTCTCCAATGATCTGAGGCACAGTGAACTGGCCCCCGGTTTAAAAAGTTTGAGGACCCATGGCTGAACATTGGGCTGGTAATACCAAGTCACTGAGACCAGCAATTCCTTCCTTTCGCCGCCTTCATTCACTGTCTCACTGCAGGGTTATTGGTACCTACTCCGAGTTAGGCACCGGGCGGGATTGAAAAGTAAACAAGGTGTGGTTCTTGTTATCAGGGAGTTTGCATCATAGACCACCTACCTAGATGCCCTTAAGTTTCTCAGATTTGCCAGCAGTGAGGGAGGAGGTGGTCTGACATTGGGATCGAGGGTCACTCAGGTATGAAGAGGGAGGCAAGCCAGTGCAGTGGTGCAAACTGGGGTCTAGAGGTAGAAAGACTGAGATCACATCATTGCCTTAACCTTGAGCAAGTTACTGAAACTCGCTAAAGTTTCAGTATAAAATGGGGATGATTATAATGCCCATTTCTGGTCCTGTTGTGCAGGTAGGTGAGAATGTAGTACAGTGGTTGGCCTGTAACAAGCATCCAGGCAGGGTTAGCTGTGTCACACAGGAAAAGCCTTGGTGGTGCTGTGTACAGAAAAGAGCAGAATAGTAAAAATATAATCGCAGAATCCTGAGAAAGGATGTCTGATGATAAGTAATAGTTCTACTCCAACCCTTGCAAGAAAGCCCATGTCAGCAGTGATTTCTTTGCTTTTCAGGAGTGATCTCAAGATACTTGCACTACTCAGAAGACTCAAAGTTACTAAAGCTTTTCCTAAAGAATGAACTTGTCCTCCAACTCTTCCCACCTTGGCACCCCACAGGGGGATTAAACTCACCTGAATTTTCTTGGGAAGTCAGAGTGGTGAATCTGGACTCCTTTTTAAAAGAAATAAAAAAGAAATTTTGTTTTTGACACATTGCTATTTCTCAAACCAATTTCTGATGAGCAGCTTCATCTGGGTATGTGGCACCCCTTGTTCCTTCTAGCTCTATTTCAGATCCGTTTTTCATCAGCTCTATAATTGCACATTCTTGCATTCTTTTCAGACTTGCTCTCAATGTAATAATAATACATACCAATTCCTTTGCAGTGATTTATGACTTTATTAAGGCTTTTAGATTTCTGTTCAGATTTCTAATCTGTTGACTTGGGCTATTTGGTATCATTTAATTATCGTCAGAGGTTTTGCTAAAGGTAGAGACACCTGAATTTAATTAAAACACTGTTTGCATATTTCACATCATAAATAATGATGCTCAATAAATTACATCTTAATCCTAATCCTGTAGTACCCCCTTTTAAGAACTCCTTGCATCTAAATCCCTGCCATTGATCAAATCCTCGTTGATGGCACTTAACGTCTAAATTTCTTCCCAGGACCTTTCTGACCACTGTGGTGCTGCTTTTCTTTTACCCACATACATAAGAGTTACATCCAGAGCTTTTAAAAGTTGACTGGCAAAGACAGAGAGCAACATAATTTGATTTTCTCCCCTAAGATCTCCTTCTCTGGACATGCAAATATTAAGAGTCCATGAGGCCAGGAGCCAGTTCATATTTTTCTAGTTTCTTAATTGCAAATGTACATAAAGATTGTCATGGGTTATGGTGGAGTTGATAGGCCACTCTCCAGAATACAATTCCTTTAGAGTGTACACTTCAAAGTCACCACTTTAAGAAAGTATTTTGATTTTACTTCCATGGAAGAGTTAAGAAGCCAAAGCCTTTT